GAGAGGGAGAAGCAGGCTTCCCGCTGAGCAGGGAGCCCGATGCAGGGCTTGATCCCAGGACGCTGGGATCATGACCTGAGCCGAAGGCAGACACTTAATGGCTAAGCCACCCAGGCGCCCCTAGATTTGGTTTCTGTCTCCTGCTGTTATGTGTTCAGATCTAAATTAGAGGATTCATTCTACATAATTATGAAAATTGACAAGGTTGCCCTGGTCAGGTGAATCAGTGTTTTCCATGAATGGTAGTGAAGGTCTTAAGATTGGTGCTTTGACATAGTTTTTTTTACTTTCTCTATTTGAATTTCTGTGAGAGGTGTTCTTGGTGTTTTGATATAGATGCTTTTAGAGAATTCACAAAATTGGGAGTTAATACTTGATCTTTAGAAAGGCCTTATTTTAAAGCTGGAATAAGCAACAATCTTATGTGTCAATAACAACCAAAATAGTTGGCATTATCAATAGAAAGGCAGCACATGCCTATGCAGTGATGACTCCATCAGACACAAATGGATTTTAAGTTCAGAAAATGATAGTAGAGTTTACCCAAAGACAGCCTTTATCATACTCCTCAATAAAGAGTGACTGGCGAGAAGGGGCTGCATGTTTGTCAGGTTGGCTGACATGAGCTGAGTGTGACGAGCAGCCACTCTGATTTGGCATCATGGGCTGCCTAGCCGAGTCAGCACCTACAGTAAACAGGGTCTCGGAGAGCTAGGTGAATGTCTTGGTCTTGCTTTATAGCTCTGTTACCCTCCAAATCTGCTGTGGTCAAGATATCCAGAGACCCACAGACTCCTGTGTTGCAAACCAAACAGCGCACAAGGCCTGTGACCTGCAAAAGTGCAGCGGATCAGGAGGCAGAGGAGCTCGAGAAACTGCAACAGTAAGTCCCATCGCAGTATTTGAGGAAGAGTTCCAAGTACCTGTTTTCTTTTCAGTTCTATAATGGGGATAGTTGCTGTTTTTCTTGCCATTGGAATTTATGACATTTGAGTTACAGGCTCTCTATAGTCTGTGCCCCTGCCTCAATGATTAAAAAATTAGAAGTGGGAATATGGAGATATCCTGGAGTATAAACTGGTAAAAAAATGAATGCAGAGGTTGGGGTGGGAGAACTTACTCAGGATTCTAATTAAGGAGTGTCCTCTGAACTTCGTTTAGGTAGATGCCACCCGTTATGGATACCCAAGGGCTCATTACAGCTATTATTGGTGGAGGAACATAATGTGGTTAGCACTGGAGTTTGTCTCCTGTATTCTGCTTTCATTGCTTTTTGTACTTCTTTTGAGGAGGGGCAGCTTCCTCTGGGAAGAGAAACCCCAATCTTTAAAGCGCTGGGAATGTTAGAACTGGCTCCTTAATTCTTTGCTCTGGAGGTAGAGACAAAGACTATGGAGAGAGTTGAAATTTTGCTATGCTTGGGTAATCATAATAATTACTATTTTTCTGTTTTGGCTTACTTTGTTGTTTGTGTAGCTTTTATTTTATTAACAAAATTTTTTTTTGTGGTTGTCATTTAAACTCTCATCTTACAGATACAAATTCAAAGCACGGGAACTTGATCCCAGAATTCTTGAAGGTGGGCCCATCTTGCCCAAGAAACCACCTGTGAAGCCACCCACTCAGCCTATTGGCTTTGATTTGGAAATTGAGAAGAGAATCCAGGAGCGGGAGTCAAAGAAGAAATCAGAGGATGAACACTTTGAATTTCATTCCAGACCTTGCCCTACTAAAATCTTGGAAGATGTTGTGGTAAGAATGGTTGAGGCTCGGGCGCCTGGGTGGCTCAGTCGTTAAGCGTCTGCCTTCGGCTCAGGTCATGATCCCGGAGTACCAGGATCGAGCCCCGCATCGGGCTCCCCGCTCTGTGGGAAGCCTGCTTCTCCCTTTCCCCCCCGCCCCCCCGCTTGTGTTCCCTCTCTCGCTGTGTCTCTCTCTGTCAAATAAATAAAAAAAATCTTAAAAAAAAAAAAAAAAAAAAGAATGGTTGAGGCTCTACATGCTGGCGGAAACATCCTGCTTGTGACCAAACATCCACCCGTTCACAAATGTTTGAGTAGATACTATGATCAGGGCATTGTATTAGGAGCTGTAGGTGATAAAGAGACACATCAGAAGTGGATTTTGGTCTCAGGAAAGTTAAAGTTGAGTAAGGGAGACAATATATGTGTAAATAATATAAAATTAGAAGTGTTCTAAGAGAGGTGACAGTTGAAAGTACTATAGGAACTCAAAGGAGATAATGATTTCTTCCAGACAGAAGGTTCAGGGAATGCTTTGTGGAGGAGGGAGCATATGACCCAAACCTTCATATCATCATCATCATCGTCTGTTGTTACTGTCGTAATCACTGACACTTTCACTATGTGCCAGGCACGCTCTAAGCCCCTTCCATGTATTAACCCATTCATTTTGACCACAACGCCTTCAGGTGATTTACTGTAATTATCACTGGTTTCAGATGAGGCAGTTGAGGTGCAGAGAGTTAGGTGGCATTCCTAGGGCACTCTGCTAGTGAATGGTGGAGCAAGGATAAGAATTCAGGCACTCTAGCTCCAGAGTTCCTGATCTTAACACTTCATTATATTGCCTCTCCATTATATGGTAGAATTTGGACTTGTAGAAATGCAGGTGGACTGGCAGAGCATTCCAGGCAGAAGTAACATAAAAGCCTGAAGGTGGGAAATACGGTGGGGGGTTACTGGAAAGTGGGTGGGGTCAGTTAAGCTAGAGAAAAGAAGTATATCAAGAGGAGCAAGTGGAAACTAGATCAGAGAAGTGGGTTGTGTGTTGGTGGGCTTATAGTCAGGAATTTAGAGAAAATGTACAATTAGGAAGAGATGCCACAGCCAAAGAATAAGTAATAGGGTTCATCTCCATAAGTGCAAAGATGGGTTTTAGATAATTTCTGTGCAGATGGGGAAATATTCTCCTCCTGCATTGGACTGACTTATGTCCAGGTACTAAGAATTTTCTTTTCCCATTTTCTTTCTTTTTGCTTGTCCTTTTGAGTCATCATGGTTTTAAGTGAAACTGTGCACCAATATATTACCTTGGACTGTGTACTTAGTTTTGTTTACTCTATTTTCTTAGCACTAAGTCAGAAGCAACCCAGAGTTATGTTTTCCAGGCTTTAGAAAAGCATCATAAAGCTTAGAAATAGTTCTTCCCCTGTTCCCACCCCTTACCTTCTTTCAACTGAGAGCTTTCTGCATGTGAGACCGCCTTCCTTTCTTTCTCTTTTTTTTTTATAAAGATTTTATTTATTTATTTGACAGAGAGAGAGAGAGCAGGAACACAAGCAGGGGGGAGTGGAAGAGGGAGAAGCAGACTCCCTGCTGAGCAGGGAGCCCAGGTGGGGCTCGATCCCAGTACTCCGGGATCATGACCTGAGCCAAAGGCAGACGCTTAACGACTGAGCCACTCAGGCGCCCCCCTTTCTTTCTCTCCCTTCCTCCCTTCCTTCCTTCCTTCTTTCCTTCCTTCCTTCCTTCCTTCCTTCCTTCCTTCCTTCCCTCCCTCCCTCTCTTTCTTGCTTTCTTTCTTTCCTCTTTAAGATTTTATTAATTTATTTGTCAGAGAGAGAGCACAAGGCAGGCAAGGGAGAAGCAGGCTCCCTGCTGAGCAAGGAGCCTGATGCGGGACTCAATCCCAGGATCCTGGGATCATGACCTGAGCTGAAGGCAGACACTTAGCTGACTGAGCCACCCAGGCTCCCCTGACTTTATATATTCTTAAAATCAACTCATTTTTAAGGTAATTTTAAAGGGAACATTTAAATCACTATGTAAATGGAACACCAGTACTTTTTGCCATGAATAACAATAGTAATAGCTAATATATAAAGCTTATTTGCCAAGTTTTAGTCTAAGCTCTTCAATTTATATAATAACTTATTTAATTCTCATAATAACCCTATGAGGTAAACACTATAGGTCTTATTATCAATCTGTTTTACAGTTAGGAAATACAGAGATTAAATAAATTGCCTGAGATCATAAACTAACCAATGGCAGAGCTGGGATACTAGGTAGTACGGTTTCAGGGTCTGTGCTTTTATATTAAAATAGAAGGTACCTTTTTATTTTTATTTATTTTTATTTTTTTATTTTTTGTGAGTAAAGCGATGGAAGTTTATTAAGTGAAGATATAGAAAAAGCTCTCAAGAGTGAGAGGGGTCCTGACAGGGTTGCCACAGGGTTGCCAATGAGGGCCTTTAGGGTTGGTTTTTTATAGAAAGCTAACCAGGGAACTTAAATCCTTTTGACATCTCTAGTGATAACACCTTCAATGGCTTACTTCTTTTTTAGGGGGTAATTATTCTTTGTTGGTCACAGGTGATTATCATAAAGACACCCACCACACACCCCTAGGGCAGGGTGGTCCTCCATCCCACCCCACACACCTAGAGCAGGGAGAATGTACCTTTTTAAATGGAAAGGTCTTAGGAAATATGTGACTATTAAGAAAAGCAGTCTGCATCCCACCTAACATCCCCTTCCATATTATCTATCTTACCTGAACTTTATTTTTAGAAACGCTGATTTAGGAAATTGGGCTGGCAGTTTGTTTTACTTTGGACATGCTAGGGTGAAGTGGTACATGTGGAAGGGTGCCTAGAGTTCGGTAGGAGTTAGTTAAGTGAGATCTTAAAGTAGCCTTGTACCAGGTTATGCCTTGTTGAGAATTCTGGATAAGCAGATCAGCAATGCACTAGGTAAGTAAGTAAGATGCAACTGAATTGACGTGGTGCTCCAGGGAAGTGTTTGCCAAATCCAGCAGGTTCTCAGAATCCTCTGGGGATCTTATTACATAAACAGATTCCTGGGCCCCACCCCTGGAGTTTTGATTTGTTATGTGTAGCATGGAAGAGAGAGAGCCTCAGTGAGAACTTAGTGTCTGACACACAGTAAGCAGTCATGTTGTTAATAGTAATAACTGTCATTTTATCGCATGCTTACCTCATACCGAGTGTTCTATGTAGATTATCATACTTCTTTCTTGAAACAATTCTTAAGAGATAGGTTTTATTTTTAGCCCTATTTTTTGGATAAGGAAGAGACATTAGGAGGTGTCTAGTATGCAGAACCAGGATTTGAACCCATCATCTCCTCCAGCACTATTATTATTCTACCCCACAGTGCTGACTTACCATTGTTTATTTTAGCAAACCCAGTTTTTGAGTTTGACACTGGCTGTTTGTAGTTCTCCCTTCTAAAATTTCCAGTGATTTCACTTCAACTCTTGGTTTCTAGAGAAGCAAAGCATAGGAGACATTAGGTGACTTCTCTCTCACCCTCTTCATTTTTTAGAAAGGGAGGCTTTGAAAGAGGAATGTGGCTTGCTCATGGAACCATTTTTAAAAGTTGGTGGCAGAATCGAGATTAGGTCCTGTAACTTCTAGTTTGGGATTCTTCTAGCAGAACAGAGGAGCCTGCTTCCCAGAGCCCAAATGCAGCTTGTCTGTTTGCCACTGTTGTCTTCATCCACGTCCCTCTGGTGCTGAAACTCTTTCCGCGTGTCCTTATGGTATTTCTTGTGCTCTTAAACTTGTGGTTGATGGGTGGCAAGGAGACAACAGGGCTGATGAGAGATGGGCTTGGGCAGCAGTGGGCCATGAGGCAGAGAGGAAAAAAGGGCTCTTGGGGCAGAGGTGGAGTGATGAAAACCTTGAGCTCAAGAGTGTGAAATGTGAACTTGGTGCCGACATCTAGTGGGGAGATGGGGCACCATAGAGGTGGATGTGGTGCTGGTGAGGCCAGTGAGTAATTTTAGCAGCGATATTTTAGGGATGACTTGGGGAGACCAGCAGGCTTTTTTTTTCCATACTCCCTGAGATAACATTTCCTCACAGTAATTTCCTAACTGCTCTTGTCCCAGGGCATTTGGGGGCATATCCTGCCATAGGGAGAAGTGCTCACCCCTAACACCCCCTCCCCCATCCTGGGCTGCTTTCCCTAAGTGCGCCATCTGCCCACCCACATTGCCCACTTCTAACCACATACCACTTCTCTAGAGCTATCTTTCCGGAGCTTCCCATTAGGAGCTTCCCCCCATTATCCTTTAGCTGCATATTCTGCTAGGTTTCTTCAGAGCACTTTTTGAAAATCAGGGAATACCTGATTTGTTACCTTTTCCTTGTCTCTTTTCCTCCACTAGAATGTGAGCTCCCTGAAAGCAGGGACTGTGTACATCTGTCTTAGTCACTTTTATATCCCCTGCACCTAATATCGCTGCAGAAGCACTCTGATATTGGGTAATTGAATGAGTAACAGTACCAGCTGAAATGCACCAGCCTAGGCTGTGTTAGGTACTAGGAATTCAAAGATGGGGGAAAACACATCACTCCTCCTCAAAGTTTTCAGTTTGGTGGAGCAGATTGATATGTAAACAAATAAGGACAGTACTGTCAATCAGCATACATTCAACGAACTAATTACTACTTCTTGTAGGTCCTGTGGAGAATGCAAAGGAATGTAAACGGCGACATTCCTGCCCTCAAAGAGCTTACAACTAGGAAAACTTAAAATAGTAAAACAAGAAGCCTTCTGTTTTTAGAAAACCAAAATTCATTTTTTAAATTTTTGTTTAATTTTTATTTTTTAAAAAATATTTATCTATTTATTTACCTATTTATTTATTTATTGAGAGAGACAGAGAGCGTATGACCGATGACCGGAGGGAGGGGTAGAGGGAGACAGAATCTCAAGCAGATTCTGTGCTGAGCACGGAGCACAACACGGGGCTCAATCTCACGACCCTCACTACCTGAGCTGAAATCAAAGAGTCTGGCACTTAACCAGGTGAGCCACCCACGTGTCCCCGCTTTTTTAAATTTCTGATTGAGCCCCCAGTTAGTGTTGATTGCAGTAGAGATGGGGTATGGGTGGGTAGTTGCTGCAGAGTTGATATTCATAAATCACCTTTTCCTCTCCCCCAATTAGTGAAGATTGAGCCCACTCCTAGATAGCTCTTTCGTGGCTTATTTATTAGAGATTTCCGTTGCTCTTTTATTTATTTATTTTTTCCAAAGATTTTATTTATTCATTTGACAGAGAGAGAGAGACAGCGAGAGAGGGAACACAAGCAGGGGGAGTGGGAGAGGGAGAAGCAGGCCTCCCGTGGAGCCGGGAGCCTGATGCGGGGCTCCATCCCAGGAGCCTGGGATCATGACCTGAGCCGAAGGCAGATGCTTAACGACTGAGCCACCCAGGCGCCCCTCCGTTGCTCTTTTAAAATGCATATCTCTGGGGCGCCTGGGTGGCTCAGTTGGTTAAGCGACTGCCTTCGGCTCAGGCCATGATCCTGGAGTCCCGGGATTGAGTCCCGCATCGGGCTCCCTGCTCGGCAGGGAGTCTGCTTCTCCCTCT